CTTCAATTTTAAAACCTTTCTCGATTTTGAAACAATACAAGAAAGTAAAATACTTTCACATAAGTAATGAGTTTTTAGTTTAATAAAAGAAGAAGAGTAGAGTACAGTACTTCAAATGAAAAACTTTTTTTATACAATTTTCTTTCTTTTATTTTATTTATTTATATTTTATATTTATAGTACCTACGCATTTATATTTGTTATATTTGACTTGGTTCTGATTCAATTTCGTTACCTATTATTTCGGCAATGTTGTTGCACTTGAAAGAAAATATCATTAATTTTTAGACTTAAAATCATATATATATATATAAATATCTTTCGGTTCGAATTTGTGACCCGCAAACATAAATACCTATTTCCGACCGCTTCGTAGTTTATTTTCCGGAATTATACGAACGGAATATAATAATATGTTTTTCTTTAAAAATGCGCGCGCACGTAAATTCAAGAGAAAAACAAATTATTACAATGCGACGATACGAGTAGGTGGGTGCTGTACTCGGAAAACACTGTCGGGAAATTCAATAATTTTTTTATTTGAAGACAAATTTTAGCCGGAAAATCGATCTTTTAGGAACACGTTCAAAGCGGCATTATACGGAACCGTATAAAACGTACCTAATAGGATTAAAATATTCGATAAAAACGTCGCGGGCGCCATAAATCCGCGTAATATAATAATATTTCATACGAGAGCCGCTGCGGAACGCTGATTCGTCGTCGCCGTATCTCGGACGGGTTCGAGGAATTCGTCCTTAAAATACGGAAATCCGCCTTTTTTATTATTATTATTTTTTTATTATTTTTTTTTTTTTTTGTGCTTCTTTGGCGTTCCCTGTACCCGGGCAGATCACGTTTCCGTACTGCCCCTATCGGGCGAACGGAATCGTGCACGTTTTAAGACGCACGATTCCGCACGTTTTGCGCCTAAGGTTTTGGCGCGGTGTTACCCGATTTCCACAAGGTCGCACATAGGTATTTGACTATTTGAATTACAGCGTTTTACGAACGGCATTCCAGTGACCGTTGATTAAATCGAACTGTGTTTGACCAATGTCCTGAATTGAAGTAACATTTATGTAACGTACAACAGCGACACGCAATCGTTATAATGTATCGGATAAGTTTTTGTTGTATTTAATTATGCGCCGAAATGTGTTAATAATTCAGCTCTACGCAATTAAATGTTTAAAAAATGGCTTTTATGTACCCGTAATTTATTTACATTGACCCGTGGTTGTTTCTGCGGGAAATAACTGAAAAACTAATTTTATATTACGACAATTTTTTTTTTTACTTATGGTCAGTAATAAAAATTGTTTTTACAATTTATACTGTCTATTCAATTCAATTGATACCTTTTTTTAACTTTGATTTTTTTTTTTTTTTTGGTTTATCGACTTTTTTCGTAACGTTATATTATTTAAGAAAATCAAACGAATTGATACAATAATAATAAATAATAAAGGGCAACATTTCCCGAAAAACCGTACGAAATCGTGTTGTCTCGGGGTTCGTTTCGACCGTTTTCGCCATTGTTCGATCAAAACCGAACGGAATAAGTGCTTTACCGACAATACGGTGATACGAGTGGGTAGGTCGGAAAATTTGATGTTTTTTTTTCATTTGAAAACAAATTTCAGCGGAAAAATCAATCTTTTCGAAACGCGTTCAAAGCGTTGTTGTATCGAATCATAATATAATAATACGTATTCGGATTGAAACACACGATAAAAACGTCGGGCGGTATTTAATCCGCGTAATATAATAACAATATTTGACGTAAGAGCCGCGACTCGTCGCCGTATCTCGGACGGGTACGGGCTCGGGGAATATTCGTCTTTAAAATACGTAAATCGCAATTTCGTTTTTTCGTCAATTTCCTCGGAGTTTCTTACCTATAGGTAGGGGGGGGGAGGGTCGGTGAAAACGGACGCGAAAAAATAACTACACGCTACACTATTACATTCGCGCGCGTTTTATTTGTCACGGTCGGCGCGTCGTCCGGACGGCTTTGATGGCGCAGACTACGGTATGCACGCCCGCGGAAAATATTACGACATAATAATATCGACGGTATTACGATGCGCCGTATCGTATAGCGCGTATAACATTTTCGGAAAACTCGTTCGGTTTTTTTTTTATTTTTTTTATTTATTAAAAACTTCTCGACGACAGCGCGATATTATGTTATCAAAACGGGTTTCCGTCTCGGAAATATTAACTTTTTCGCGCGCGAAATTGTATACATTAAGTTTTAACATATGGCTCGCGTTAACATAAACATACGGGCGCTCATACCGTACTAGTGATCCCATAAAGTGGCCACTAAATACAATACCTCGACGCCCCGTCGCCTTTATTTCGGTAATCCCGACTTTAACGTAACGCGAACCGTTGTGAAACCGAACACTATAAATGTTAAAAACGTAACGTAATCACGGGCCTTCCGTTCGGAGAGGGGTGGGAGGGGGGGGGGGGGTAGCGAGAGAAAAGCGCGAAAACTTACGTGTCTGTAATGTCAACTGTTTAGAAAAAAAAAAAAAAAACCAACAAACAAACTGAGCGCTACTGGCCCCGGGACAACGGAGACGGGTCCTGTCACCGCCGCCGGCAATTGAATGTGTACGTACCGTCCGGTGAGCGGCGATCGACCGTCGATAACGGGAAAAAGATCGCGACCGGAGTTCGGCCGATAGCGTTGCCCCGTCAACAGCGCGAACGCCGCGTTACGGCGAAAACCACTGCGCGCTTTTCGCAATCAGCATTTGTTCAATGTTTTTCTTCTCCCGTTTCTTCCCGGCGCGCGGCCGACCCGGCGCGTGGCCACGTAAGCCGGTCGCCCTCGATTGTTTCACGAGGAATTCGATTTGAAATTGTATGAAAATATGAAAATATGAAAAAAAAAAACACCCCGAACGTCCGTCGGGACAACCGCGGGACGCGGCCGGCAATACCCAGTCAATTACGCACACGTCGCGCTCGCGCACACCCCGTACGCAGATAACGCGCTTCTCTCTCCGTTCGCGTCGCCCGCGCGAAAACCGTGCCGGAAGCCGCCGCGGCCTTTGCCCGCGTACAACGGTCGCGTTCCGAGACCGCGTACGCGTACGCGGGTACGCGCGCTTTTGTACTGTTGCCCCGGAGTACGCGCAGGCGCGCACACACAGTGTACGCGGAGACGGGCCTGCTAACATATTATTTAACCGCTCGCGCTTAAGACGGCGGAAGTGACGCGGCAGGGCGCACGAGTCGGCGCGACCGCGAATAAAAAAAAAATGCATGACGCGAACACAGTTTTGATAAAAAAAAAAAAAAATAAAAGTACTTGGATAATTTATCTTACAATAATAGTGAAATGTGAAAATCAAAACTTCGAACTTAAACGTTCAACACTGTGGTTCGATATTATGTTATTGTTTTACTATTCAATATTATAACCGTTATTTGTTATCGTGATATCAATGTTATCGCTTAGCATTTAACGCCCACTCTAAAACTACGGTCAATTTCACGGTAATTTGTTTTTCTCTAACTGCACGTGCTGACGTTTGCCCTTCTGCGCGCTTCACGTTGACAGTACTATAGCCACTCCCGTATAGGCGCGACTCGAGTCCGAATCTCGGGGGAGGGGAATCTGAAAATTAAGAAATTAAGAAACTCGCATTGTCGCCTAAGATTCCGCCCTTTTTAAGAATTCCGTTGTGTTATATTCAATTTTAGACTCTGAGCGGAGCGAGGAATCTATTGGTTTTACAATAATGTTTATTATTTTTTTTTTTTTTTTTTATGCGAACACTTTTTCTACCAGAGAGCTTACTCCGGTTATCAAGTAGACCATCTGTTTTTAAAATAAATGTTCTCCGGGCGGTACTTTAGAGAGGTCAATTTTTTGAAATTCTCATTGATATTCGAGATGATGAGGAAAACATGGTTCTTAAGAAAGATTAAAGATAAGGTCATTGTCATTGTCAACCGTTTTTATTTATTTTTTGTTTTTACTATTTTAATATTTTTTAGACAATTCTGGGACCTTTCTAGACAAATATGAAAAAACTGCAAGTCCTCAGCCATAGTAACGATACTCAAGTTTGCAAACCGTTGCTGCGTGTTGATGAACTGATTGGAACGGTTAATGCGAACTGCGCATTATGATCTGTAGAGATTTTGAAAACGTCTTAATATATACTTAATAGCGATTTAATAATATCGATCCCCGGAAACCAATTATCAGTTCGGAAAAGGCCGGGGGATTTTCTCGTCCTTTGCGCGCCGTGTACGAGAAAATTAGCATTATTATATTATTTTCCCCGAACGTGGGAAATCTGTAGGTAATCGAATATTTTTCTGAAACCTCAACGCGACGAGTCTCGCAATAATAAAATCGTAAAACTATAACGGATTAATTATAATACTATACAAGGTGATTGTTTCATCACCGGCAATTATTTCGGAGGGTTTTAAGTGAATTCAATTTTTAATTTTTTTTTTCTTATCATTATTGAACCGTTTAAGTTTCATTTTGAAATCAGTTTTAATTTTTTCACCCCTACTGCCGTACACGTTGAATAAGGGCAATTTATCACCTTTCTCTACTCCTCCGGTTTAAACTTTGAACTGTTATAACTCATAAAAGGTAAATCCGACATCAGTGTTATGCATATCGAAATGTCTAGAAAAAAAATTCTCTGTTAGAGTCTGTGTTCAAAAACGGCAGGGGGCGGTTCCTGTTTGAAAACCGAAAGTATATACTTATTCAAGGCATACGGAGTAAAGTAAAACAATTAAAAATGATTTTGAAATAAAGCTCAGACGATTCCATATAATGGTTAGAAAAAATAGGAATCAAATCCGCTTAAAGTCTACCGAGATAATTTCCGGTTCGTAATAAAAAAAAAAAAAAATCACCCTGTATACAAGGCAGTTTGACGTTTTCCTGGGAAATATCGCACTTTCGCAGCAGGGTAACGTTAAAATTACCGGCTAAACCTCCCGTCACCCGTCAGCCCTGTATAGTTTTTCGTTCGTATCCGATTTTAGTCCACTTTTTTTATAGTAATACATTAATATCCCGTTTTCTCTCGATTTCAGGTTTCGTAATAATAATCATAAGAAAATAACGAGCACTCCGTGAGAAATCCCGGATCGTCACGTTCATCCGATTTTTCCGGAGACGGATCGGAGCGTAGCGATGGATCTATTATCGGTTTTACTACGACGTGCGTTTTGTTTTCGATATCCGAGGCGACTCTTCGTCCGGAAATCTCGCTCCGACTTAGCGAGCGCGTCGTCTTTTCCGAAAAGATATTTTGTCTAGTCGGTGAAGTAATTTTTTGATTTCCCCGGGGGTTTTCATACGACAACTTATCGGGAAAAAGGGGAATATTTACGGCGCACCGCGGCGTTTCCGTTTCATTTTTACGCATTATGATTTCTCCCAGAAATATCGATTCCGTCGAAAAACTACAAGTCGCCTTTTTTATTGAACTTTGAATCCAGTCGGTGATAAAGTCAGTCGTTTTACGAGATTTTCCGAATCGATTTCATAGTAATAATTGAGAAAATCCCAAAAAGACGAAAAACGAAAACCGATAAATTTACGACGTTACGTTTTCATTACTTTAAACTATATTACGTTTTATGTTTTCTACCAGAAATATTTGTCTATCAGAAAAACGACAATTTATTGTTGCATTTATAATCTAGTTGGTGAAAAGTAAAAAGGTCGTTGCTTTACTTTTTCTTGTAGTTTTTTTAAAAGCCGAGCAAACCGTAGAAGAAACGAGAAAATGTACGAAAATAATATTTTTATTATTTAAATTTTGTTTTTTTTTTTTTTTATAATTTAAAACTCAATTTTCTATTTATTTTTTCTAGGCATGATATGATTTTAAAATAAATTTAAGCGATTTTCGTGCTATTATAGGCATTTTATTTACGTGTGTTTTTTATGCGGTTTTTTATTTTGGAGGTATTATGTAAATAATATAGTCAAATAAATCAAAATAATAAGTAGTAAAAATAAAATATCTATAAATATAAGGCAAATATATGTTTTCTGTCCAAAATTCAAGCCACTACGAATATTTCTAACTGAATGACAACAAAAAAGCCAAATTAAATATAATAAAAGTATTATTTTCGTACATTTTCCCGTTCTTCGTTTTTTTTTTCCGTTTGGTCAATTAGTAAAAAAACTACACGGAAAAGTAAAAAAAATAAACGACATAATTTTTCATCAACTACATTATAAATTCAACAACAGTGATCTATTGTCGTTTTTTTATTGGAGCAATATTTCTGGGTGAAAGCACAAAAATAAACGTGCTAGTCTTACACCCCCCCCCCTCAAAAAAAACCTAAGTGTGCCTTGGAAATTTAAACAATTATTTTGACCTACTTTAAGTACACTTTTTTTTTTACAAATTTACATAATATCATATCACAACTCAATTTTTAAAACTCCCTGAAAATGTTACGGTCTTAGACTTTGGCATGGCTTTGGAGTCGATCTCTACATTAATTTTCAAGTGTATATCGCTACACAATTAATAAATTTAAAACATCACGTTTCGGACGATTATTTTTCGATTTTATCTTTTTGTTTTACTGTGTGCGAGTGCCTGGGAAAGTACGATGTACAGATATACAAGTTAACTTAACTAATATTATACTGTATGCACCGATATATCATTGTACGGAAAACGATCCTGAGCCGTGTAGTGCCTATTATTAATCGACAAGAGTGAAACGGATGAATCGTCATTTCATGTTATTAGTTTTTCAAAACTGTATGGAACGACCGCTCATGAAGAGTTCACGAATGGCACAAACGTTGCGCGCGCGCCAACAAATTGTTTTTGGGATACGCCTACTGTAAATTTTCATTTTATTTACGTAGCCTTTGAAATTTACCCATTTTTCACACGAGAAACGAGAACGAATCGCAATGATTCCAAACGAATATAGACTGCAAGACATAAACTTGGCACTTTAAAGAGACGATTACTTTTGGCAAGTCAGGGGGACGCAAACAGCAATATTTCAAAATTGAAAACTACGAAAAAACAATTTTGAATACAGAAAGCTCAGAATTGAATTTTTAACGATCGCTTAGATTTTTTCTCGGGAGGTTTTTTTGTTTTTTTTTTTGCTCCGCAGTTTATCACGATTTCGAGTGCATCAATCTGGAAAACACGATATTACCTCATTTTAAGTACTTGCCTACCACAGTGCTTGTTCGATTATCTACCTATCTGCAACCGCAGAGGATGAAACTTTGCCAAGAAGAAAATACATCATATATTTATATCATCATTTTTGTTTCACTGTATAAAATAACACTGCTCACGGGCAGTGTTATTGAGAGCAGACTGTGGATCGGCGTGAAATCGTGAAAATTCGTTTTAACACTCGTATTATTGAACGTTATAAGAGAAAAACGTCGGCATATCTGTGGACGTCTGTATAATATTGTTAATATTAATCGTGAAGAACGTGGACATGTGATTTTGTTTCCGTGTGCAGTGACACAGTCGCAGACAATTGATCCGATCGAAACATTTACAGGGGATCCGTAGTATCGTTATGGATATACATACTGATTACTAAGCGTGCTCACCCTGTACAGTCGATGCACCGAGAAAGTGATTTTTCGATAATGGAGAAAAACCGGAAAATGTACACGTATTTAACAAAACCGTTTGTTTTAGATTCCGAATGAAGCGAGGAATGTATTGGTTTTACAATGACGATTATTTTTTTATTACAAAATTTTTTCTGTGCACGACTTTTCTACCGGCAATCTCGCTCCGATTCACAACGACAACGCCTTTTCTGTAAGGAAATCTGACTGATTTTCCCAGGAATTTTCTCAATAAACGGGGGGAAAAACCGGGGAAAAACGGGGCTTTTGAATTCCTTCTTGTACTTCAACGCAGTGGCGGGTGTAAGATTTTTTTTTGAGGGGGCGAGGAGGCTCGGGCCTCCCGGGTCACCCCTTGAATCCGCCACCGCCTCAACGGTGAACCTTCGTTTCGTTGTACGCGTTTTAAAGGACGACGCCCGGTGTTGGCGCGATTAATATTCTGCACCGGCAACGGGGATCGGTTTGTCCTCGGGGCCTTCGTGTCCTTTCCGCGTGGCCTCGCGCGCGCGGGCCGCTGCTCGGTACGCGCGCGGTTCTGGCGGCAATTTATTGAAACTCGCGCGCGGCAGAAACCCTTCACCACCTCCCGCCATCACCCCCCCCGAGGCGCCGGCGCGGCCGCGCGCATTTCGCGGGACCGACCCCGGGACTCGCGTCGCCCGCGCCGTACGCCGCCGCGGCAACGGCGTAACGCAATAACGGAATTCGTCCGCCCGGTATTATGACGTTGTTATTAGATCGCACACGGTGTAATATCATTACCTGCTGCGGCGTCGTACGTCTGCGCGGCAAAGGCGCACGGCTGCGGGCCGTCGTCCCGAGACGTTGTCGGCGGAACAGTCGAATTAACACCTGCCGGGGACGTTTTCCGGGCGCGGGCGGCGGCTACGTTAGGACCACCGACCCGCTGTGTACGACGTTACACAACCGTAATGTGCGCGGCGACGCAAATCGAATTACCCGCGACGGGCCCGGGACCGCGTGTAATAATAATAATAATACAAGAAGACGGAGACTTGTGCGCGGCCATACGTGCGTGAAACCGTAGTTTCCGACGATAATAACGTTACTGCGCGCGCACCGCGGTACGCCGGATCGGTACACTTTCTCGCCGTTATCAACGTCGTTTTTGTCCCGCGCTCTATTTCGGTTTCCCCCGGGCGAACAGGCGTCGGATACGGCGCAGGTCCGCAGACGGAGGACGCGGGATGGGACGGGGGGGGGGAGACCGAAGGGGCTAAACCGCACTACATTTTCGCAAAGCCGCATTTGCCGCGGCACGCCCGTTTTTCGGGAAAACCGCGAAAAACGTTCAGGTGCGGGAGGCTAGAGGAGATTTTGGCGGGGAGGCTATAGTCGCGTTCGAAGTGCGACGGAACGGGCGGGCGAGTCGTCGCGGGTGCCGGGCGCTCGGAAACGTAGCGAAAATCGTTGCGCTTTTACAAAACCGAATCGTTAACACGAATTCCAGACCGCGGAAATTCGATAAATTCGACGGATTTCATTGTTGAATTTCAACGGAATCGCGTTGGGGTGGCGGTATTTTCGGGCCACCGCGTTATCCGGTCAGGGGTGTCACATCGAGCGACTGACGTCTGTTAGTTTAAAGTACAATTTTTCGGTCCCAAAGGATATTGCCGCCCCCACCGATGAAGACGGACCAAATCTGCCGCCGGGTTGAAATTTGTCTGTTGATGGCGACCACGGATTGCTAGTCTTACGTTTCACGCGTTATGTTGCGGACGATCTTCAAACGGATTTTATCGGAAATTGTATTTGATGCGTCCGGGAAAACTTACGACGTGTTTGTATAACGAGCTACGGCCATCCGTGTAAAACTCGCGTTACGGATAATATCACGGGCGAATAAAACGCTGCTGCGACAGACGCATTACGTCGTCGTGCAGTGGCGTGTTATGATTTCGTTCCTGGGGGGGGGGTTGTTAATTTTCCGGGTAAAATTTTGTTTTGAGTAAAGCGAAGGAGTTGTTAATTTTACTAAGATGTGTGGGGTTTTTTTTTTTATGAAAAACGGTTTTTCGGTTAGTAAAATAAATTAATGTTTTCACGTTATACTCACGGAAAACGGGTAATTTTCGGCGGACGGTATTTCAGATGGCTAGATTTCCAACATTTGTCTACACAAATTTAAATACTGACTGTAAATAAAACGATTTGCAAGGATTTACAGCTGATACGAATTTGGTTATGTAAATTATAGTCACTTGCTGGTCTGTAAACAACAAACGAGGTACAAAATAAAGGTCTCATATCATAATTCGAAAATGGGAGCTAGCATTTCCCCAGCCCCTGCATTTTTTAAAAAAGCGCTAGTTAAAAAAGCGTTGATGTACGAACGAGGTACAAACGATTAACGCCGGTTTTAAATTGAAATTCCAAAAAAGGGGAGCCGGGGATATGTACTCAGAGCGTTAATGGTTCTGTAAATCGTTTGCGTGACCCGGTCTCGAAATAATAAAAATTAACGGTCGCGGTACGACGGCGGACGGCAGTGGCGGCTCGATGTATTTTTACTTTGAATCGCCGATAAAATTTCTTTTTTTAAATTTTTAAATAAAATTTCTTTTAAAAAAAAAAAAAAAAAAATGTAAACGCGATGGGTACCGTGTGTCAACACGTTTATTCACAGAACAACGCCGCGCGGACCGCGTACCGTTTCCCGAATCCAGAGAAACAATGTTCGGGTACACGGGAACGCGGGTAGGGGGAGGGGTTGCGGGACAGGGCATTTGCCCTGCCCCTTGAACTCTGAAATTTCAATTACAATTTTGTTGCGGCTATACTTTTTGATGTTTGATTTTATTACGCGACAGCCCCGCCCCGTGGAATTTTGGTTACCCCACCCCCCCCCCCCCCCCGTTAAACGTGTCATCGCTGTGATTTTAGTAATGCCCTGGTAAATCTACTGCGGCCGTCCACGTAGTGTCGCTGCGTTATAATTTGCCGATTTGCAGGGTGCACCGACAGTGAGTGTCTGTATGTGTATGGCTTATACAGTTGTTCTGTTCCGTGTACAAGTGTTCGAAAATTCGATACAATATGGTCCGGTGGCGCATCCGGAGTTAAAATTTGGAGGCCCCCTTACTTTAAAACGGGTAATTTTTTGAAATTCCCATTGACATTCGAGATAATGAAGAAAATCCGGTTGTTTAGGTTGAAAAATATTGAAAGGTTAAAAATAAACTTGTCATTGGCAACCGTTTTTATTGTTTTAAAATATTTTTTAAACAATCATTGTTGTCGCGGTAACGCACATTGTTGTAATCATTTGACCGCAATATGGCATAATACAGTATACAGTTAACGGAGCGCAACACTAACCGAACTCCGCTCAGAATCGTTTTTCGTCAGGTACATACAAAAATTTCCCATCTGCCTACAATCCGACCTCTCACCTACAACAGTGGCCCACTCACGTGCGTCGTTTCTTTTTTTTCTTTTTTTTTTTTTTTTATCAACCGTCCATTACGGGGACCGGCAGGACGACGACGTTTCGTACATCACGTCATATCGCCTCGTTATATCGGACCGTACACGTTGTTATCGTCGCGCCGCCGTCGTCGGATGAGCCGTCTCGAGATGTTGCGCGCGCGCGGTTCCCCCGACACACCGCCGACTCGTCGTGCGCGCCCCCGCGATACGGGAAATTATGTTTATTTGTATCCCGACCGAGCGATGAAAAAAACATAAAAAAAAAAAAAAAAAAAAAAAAAATACCCGCGAATCGAAATATCGCAAAATAATATTATTGCGCCCCGAGCCGGGCTTCGGTTTCCGTCGGGGGGTGTTTCGCCGCGATCTCCTTTGCGGAAAACCGTCTCGAGAAATATCGCCGGTCCGGCGCGCACACGGTAACGGACTATTTTTTTTTATTAAAAATTCCCCGAACGGATAGGCGGATTTCTATTGTGGACAAGTGGGGGGCGTTTATATATTTTGTGTTCGTACGATATTCGATTTTCGGCGGCGGGTTGCGAGGGGGCACTGGCGAGAGAATATACAAATTCCGAAACACGAACGGAAAATACAATTAAATTTTACGGATTTTTTTCTCCGGTTTTTTTTTTTTTTTTTTATCTATTGGTTTCTGTTTCGCACGCGGGCAATGTTGTGTCGGTGTTTTGTATATATAGTTTAAAAGTTCGACCCGCCGAACAAATCGACATTTCGGTGGTTTTCACGGGCCACCGCTCAAATAGCTCGTATAATCAATTATCGGTGACCATTAAATGAGAAACTGTTCGAAACCGGGTACCCGAACTATAATATAGATTTTAAAACATCGATAGGCGTTCACAAAAGTTTAACCGTTGAACGTGCGTCGCGCAGTTATTGGCCGAATTTCGTGTGAAATAAAAGCGACACTGTCCGTACGACTGCGGGTATTTTCGTACCCGTAGACAAATCGAGTCGTAAGACGGTCGTTTCAGCGAAAAACTAAAAAAAAAAAAAAACAAAAAAAAAAATGTCTCCATACAGTGTTACTATTTCTTTATTAGCTTTCATCTGGAATTTTCCTCGAGAGTTTATTTTCGGGTCAAATACCCTCATATGAAAACCTTATAAGATGTATGTTTCAAAAATAAAGTAATGTTCGTCATCAATTTTTCCGTTTAAATAAATTATTAATGCCTACACGCAAAAAATGCGGACAAACTTTGTACCAGCAAAAATAAAGGATACCATAACCGTATAGTGGAGACGAGGGAAAAACGTGTATTGGCTGTACGCGCACGGGAAAGCACGCCGTAACCAAACCAATAATGGGAAAACGACCTTTGCAAAAGCCGAGGACGAGTCGAGAAGGCGTAGTGAAGAAATTACGCGGAGGCTTTATTGATTGTGACACGGAACGCCGTCGGTCGAACAGAGCCGCGGACGGCGGTTGTTCGGAAATGATAACGACAAATAATGATAAAGACCAATAATAACGGCTCGGAAGCGTAGTTCCTATGCCCGCACAGCATTTGTGCGCGTGCAATGTGCGAGTACTGTATAATACGATAATGGTACCAGAATACTACTGCCGAATAAGCCTAAACAATATTATTATAATCGAATGTTTATTATTATATGAAGTCCTATGCTGGGAAACTGCACGGCGTCCTTTAGAACCGGGAGTCGATAAACCTTTGGAATATAACCGGGTTTTCGCGGCGACAGTGCTGTAATAACGTAATGCCGATTCGCGCCCCCCCCCCCCCTCCCCCCACGGAGTGCTTTTTCGAACTCTTATAGCTTTGCGACGTGCCACGGCGATGAATTTATGCGTCACGTTTCTTCTGGACGTCCGTGTTGCAATAACCGCGGACAACAACACCGTCCGTCGGACATTTTTATATTAAAAATAACAATAATAAGTGTACCGTCGTAAATAAATATGATTGCGTGTGGACGTGTAACGGAAATTTAAAAAAATAAACACAAACCATGACGCCGCGCCGCGCCGCATGGCTCGTGGTGGATGCAGCAGGATCAAAAACGGCATTGCGTTAACACGAAATCTATAATTTCTGCGCCAAAAACAAATGTGTAATTAATTATTATTTGTCTAATAAAAATTGTAGACGCGATTAGACATCGAAACGCGTTGCCGTGGAATTATTTACCAGCCGAATTCACAAAACAAAATGTAATATACAGACCGGATAATGTTATATAGAGGTAACTGTAGACAATAATTATTGTTTCGACGTTCTGTCTAAATAATAATAACTACGGCAGCAGTGATATTTAAATTTTATTTCCGGTATTTATTATGTTTTCAATTTCGTACTGGTAAATTTGATCAAAACTATAGTACCTGCCTGCGGCTACTATAAAATGTTGGTCGATAAACTAAAACGTTTAGTGTTTACTACTGTTGAGCAATACGTTGACCAATCCAGAATCTGGATTACAACTTCATTATCCGGATTCGGATTCAACCCGTCAATACGGATTTCCGATCTAATCCACCGATCCGGGTTTCGGATCCGATCCGTAGATCTCGACATTAGATCCAATCCGGCTGCACTGTTTCTGAGACTATCGGCTAGTTTTTACCATTATTATCTATAGTATCTACAGATTCTACGAATGCACGATCTCGGATCTATCGACAGTCCACTCAATGTGATATGACTCCAAACAACAAATATGCCAGGGTTTTCGAATTTTTCACGGTTTCTCAACTTATAATAGCCAAGAGAAACTTTGTCGATAACGTCACCTAATGCATCAAATTATTAGGAGGGTACCCACCTATAAGTATTCTTTATAATTTTTAGATAACTCTGCACCGGGAAAAAAGGAACATTAACGCGCGTTTTAGTAATACACAATTTGTGGATAATTAATGAATTTCAGTAATAGATTTAGAATAGAAAAAAAATTATCAACGAAATAATAATTGGTTTTAAAACACTTTGTAATCCGGATCGGTATTCGTAATCCGGAATGAAGGTAACGGCCCGGACTAAACGGGCTGTAACGTTTGTTTCAATCCGGATCGATCCGGATGGGTAACTCGAATCTATCCGGATTTGGTACTCAGCAATAGTATTTACTAACAAAAGTTACGTTACGGTTGTCTTAGTTGTCACTGTTATATTAGTTACCGTAAAGCTACAACAACTACTGCTAAGAACTATACAAATATAGTACTATATCTACTAACGTTGTATAATTGTCTTACGTACAACCAGAATAATTACAATAACGATAATAACAGTAATATCAACTACATTTTTTTTTTTCTGATTTTTCACACAGAATCGCCGATGTCGGTGAATCGTGAAAAAAAAATCGAATATTTAACACGTTCGAAGCTACCTCTTTTATTATTATATTATAAGCGAGTCAGATCGGAGAGTTACATTTGAAAATTTTACTACCTTAAGTCGAGTTAGTTTTGACCGTCTCTAATAGCATGGTGAAAACGCGGAAAACGATTGAACGTCACAGAGTTTGAAAAAATCAAGGACGAGCAACGCTAAACAAATGGGCACAGCGAATTACGAGTATATTTATTTCATGTTCGGAACCCCGCACGAGGCTCGGTTAATATCGCGCGTAATTTAATTTTTTTTTAACTCGTTAACGTCCAGCCTTTGGATTTTTGACGGTCGAGCTCCGAGAATCAAATTACAATCGCGTTTAACGGCGATTCGCTACACGTTTCGTGCGATTGTTTTCTGTTCGTGAATATCGCAATCCCATTCGAATAACGTAATAATGTTCTCGTCGTACTGCGAATTTCGTAAAGTCACTCGCGAATAATTCGATCGATTATTGTCCAATGAAATAACACTAATGTCCGAATATCCATTCACCGCTGTATAAATCGACTGTTAAAAAAAATTGATCCCACTCAGTTTATTTTGCGATTTTATTATTTATTAATAATATTATTAAAAACCGGTGTATAGAGTGGCTATTATCGAGACGTTTTCTGAAATATTTTTCCCGTTCCTGACCTTAATGGTTCGATAACAAAAACAATAAAGACGTACCTATTTAAAAAATATTTTCCTTTCGCTAATTTGTTTTTGGCGTTTTTTTTTTTTATTTTTTTTTTCTCGATAATCTTTTAAAAATAAAATCGTGGATTTTTTCCGTGTTTGTTTGTTTGTATACGGGGCTTTTTACTGAATACCGTTCTACGTCTATACCGGAATTATTCAACAATTTAGAATTTAAAGTTTATTTGTACGTAGTTATAATAAATTATAATACAATATATGGATAATTTATCGGTTTGTGTTAACCACAATTTGCGCGTATTATAATTTTGTTTGTAACAATATTATTCCGTTTTTGACATACACGACCGTTGCACTGTTATTGGACTGAATACATTTTAAAACGATGATAATAATAATAATAATAATAATAATAACAATAATTGACAATCAAGGACGGAGAAAAATTCTTTCGACTTACTCGAGTCGGACGAATGGATTTTTATTATTATTATTATTTTTTTTTTTTTTTAATACTATAGTCGGCAAAATGGCAGACAATAATAATATTATTGTTTTCGCAAAAATCAAGAACCGATTCAAGAATAGAAAAAAACAAAACAAAAAACAAAGGTTATTTTACCGTAAAGCTCTAATAGTCGGCCAAATTAACTTGGCCGTGTCCCCCTGGATAAAACGACTTCGCTACGCCCCTCGGTTTTCTTTTATCCGCGGTGTTTGTTATCGGCTGTCGTTGATTGTAGAGGAAAAAGAAACGAGCGGCGTTATTTTGCTTTCCGGTCCGGCCGTATCGTATAAAATTAGTCCTTTCGAAAATATCGACAAAAAAAAAATAATAATAATAATAATGAAAAATCGGTAAAATAAAAAATGTAAAAATACCGATCCGCGCAGTCGTCGAAAACCAATCCAACGTAGTGTTGTCCGCCAATCGCAACTCGCGATTAATCGCGCGCAATACGATCGAGTTTAATCGTTTTGAACGACTCGCAGTAGCCGCCGTCGGGTGTATGCGGCGCGCGCGGACGTGGCCCGCGTCCGGATTTTCGTTAAGGAAATAATTGTTTTACGCTAACGTTCGACGCGTGCGATTCGCGCGCTCTAGACGATTTATTGTTGCACACATTAGGCGCGTGTTACCCGTAATTGTTTCGGGTGCGCGTATAGTTGGACAGTATTATCGAACGCGCCCGCAGTCGAACCGAAATCGCCGCGGGTAAAAAAAACGGCCCGGGAGAATTTTGTTTTTTTTTCACATACCGAAACCCGCGATCTCTTTTATTCGCGCGGTTTTCTTCCGGGCCGCTACGAACAATTTCAAGGGCTTACTCGCCGAGTCGTAACGGACACGCCGTGCGTTTATAATACACGGGCATATTGTTGTTGGACACGACCGACATAATGGCACACAACACGGCACTCCGCTGTCGACACTCCGCCGGAATACTATGGGAACCGATTACGGGCCTCGGTGTTTTATCCGGCCCTGAACATTACATTTGACGGTCATATCACAAACAAAATTGCTATCGGATCCCGTATCAGATCTCGTAGGTTTCGTTCGTCGTAATCGTGCTGGTTTCGATGGCGAACTCGCTCTGAAATCTTTATTTTTTTTTTTTTGTTCTATACGTCTATTTATGAATACTCAGGTCTCCGTATCAATTGGCCCTTAAACGGTTGACTCTTAAACATTGTAAAACTCTTGAACAACGCCGATCACGTTTGAAACTATACTTTCCATACGATAGTTTTGCCGGAAATATTGGCTGTCCTGATTATTCATGAGTAGTTTTTCTTACCGTAAAAGTACTCGAAATACTAGTAATACTTTTTACGCAAACGCAGAGGTAACTAATCACGCAAGTAATAGATCTCCATTCAATAGACTTATGGTAGCCGTAAGATATAAATTAAACGTCGATTTGTTCATTTCACCAGGCTTTAGCTGGTTCAGATAATATTGTAACTTTTCATTAAATTCTTAGTTACAAGAGCTATTCTTACATTTTTTTGTTTTTTAATTGTTATTGTCATTGGATATCTTTATACGTAAAAATCTTACGTGTTACGATGGTTATCTCCAAAACCGTTAAACCAATTTTTTATGAAATTTTATAAATGCGTATTGTTTGGTCTAACTTAAAAAACAGGATAGTTTCTATCCCGACAGGAAACCCTCGATATTTTTAATTGTAAATTTAAAGATTTTGTATAAGATAAAGAGCTATTTATATATGTATTAATGATGGAATAATTAAAGCGAACACATTTACACGCAACAAGCAAACGATACAAATTTTACAAGTCAACATAAGCATTTTTAATTTAAAAATTTGATCATTGTTAAAATCAAAATTCTTTTTAAGATGAAAATACTTTTTGTCGCAAAAATAAAATTCAAAGAAAATAAAATTGTTTTCGTTGAATTATACAGTAACGCTGACGAAATGGAGAAAAATGTAAAACAAAAATAGTAATAAATAATAAAAAGAAATGAAAATTCCATAACAACTATAGCAATTTAAAAATAAGAGTCC